AGTTAATATTACCCTCTAACTGATGTCTCTAGTTAAGGTAGATTATCTGAAATATGTGACGCTTCATCTATAATATCTTGTCTCTTAATTTATTCAACACATAAGGTACTTTTTTATATATATTTTTTTTAACCTATGAAGAATATTTTACGTATGAACCGTGAAGAAAAAAAGTCGTATTTCTTAGTATCGGAATATTTTTGGCTCAAACTTCCTGTGAAAAATCAGCTAAAAAGTAAATCTTATCCATTTTCCCTCTTCCTCTCTTTCTCTCTCTCTTTCTTACTACCCCATACACACACACCTTTACGAACACCACCCCACACACCCTGTCACCTGCACAACTCAACCCTCCCACACATACATACATTACATACATACATACATACATTACACACACACACACGTCCTCCCTCACAAACACCTGCTGCGAAACACATGTGATATATTGATTGTTTTAATTCACACACACACACACACACACACCTGCACACACACACACACACACCTGCACACACACACACACACACACACACACACACACACACACACACACACACACACACCTGCACACACCTACCTACAACCGCATGTATCACTCACAGCCTGATGAAACCCCCAAACGTGTTCTTTCCCCACACCTGTTTTTTACCACACACTTGTTATTTTACCACACACTTGTTATTTTACCACACATCTGTAATTTCCTCACCCGTCTGTTGTTTACCACACCTGTTCTCCTTACACTTTTGTTTACCCATCTGTTTTATACACACCTGAGTTACCTGTCCTCCCCATAACCACTCTTCTCCCCACTTTCTTTATGCCTCCTCTTTATACTCTACCCATCTTCCTTCCTTCAATGACCCGTTAGGGGTTAATCATCATCATCTGAGTTCGTCACCATCGTCAAGGGTTAAATCATCATCATCGCCAAAAGGGTTTAATCATCATCATCAAAGTGTTAAATCACCATCGCCAAGGGTTAAATCTTCATCTATCTAGGGTTAGTAAATGTCATCATCAAAAGGTTAAATATTCATCAGCAAGGGTTAAATATTCATCAGCGAAGGGTTAAATCATCATCGCCAAAGGGTTAAATATTCATCATCAAAGGGTTAAATCATCATCGCCAAAGGTTAAATCATAATCAGCAAAGGGTTAAATATTCATCAGCAAGGGTTTGTATTCATCGATAGGGTTAAACAAGAGATTCAAATCACTACAATTATTTCACTGATTGGTTTGCACCGGTACTTCCCGACGCTGTCATTTAAGTTGGAATGTTATAACTTGAAATATGCTGAAAGGTAACAAGTCAGGTAACAGATTACAGGTAACACATACAGGTAACATACAGGTAACACGTACAGGTAAGACTGATCTCTAGGTGTTGTCGGGCCAGTTCTGTGCTTCGAATTACTACTGAT